TGGAATAATGTACATTGTATGGATATAGTGCATTATGTATCATGGTTGCCAGCGATCCAAACTTTCTGTTTATCTGACAATAATAAATTTCTACCTAATATGTTACAATGTATAATGTAATTCCCTCCAGTGGGGGCTAGACAGTTTATTGTATATTTCAATACCTAATTGTTATAATTGTATATTTATTGACACATCATAAGGTCATATGGTATGTACTTATTGATGCGTTTACATATATGATTTACACAGGTTTTTTTTTTGAGACCTTACTATAGTATTATGTGTGGAATAAAATAACACGCGCGTTACATTTTGACGTAGTGGGCAGTATCTAAGTGTGATTTCTGCGTGGTTTAAGCCCTGACTTGAAAAACGAATTTAGGCCAAGTTCTAAGTGTGTTTCTTGGAGGATGAGCTACGTTTTACCATTACTGTGCTACTCAGACACTATCACTATTCAACATGGAATGATGACAAATTGTGAAACTGCTGTTCGTGAGGTATTGAGTGACTAATCGAAAAGTGATGGAGAAGTTGCAGCACTGGCAGGTTGATACCCCAATTCCACAGTACAGAAATTTTTAAAACCAGGGAATCGTTCACCTGTGTCAACTGACAATTAACCCCCGCTGTTGAACATGTAAATTAGCAGATCATCTCAACCGAGACTGCCAAAAACTTCAGCCTAAACCCCAAGATTTAAACTAAACAAGCCACCCTGCAAAGATCTGTGTGGAGACTTATTTGTTCATAATGTGGCGGAAGTTAGTACAGAAGCTGTTATAATATTAGGCGCGCAGTACAGATGGCGTGTGTGTACTCGACATTGATGCCTGGGTCTCAATATTGTCAGAGCAGTTCTTTAGAGAATATCTTGTTAAAGCAGTGTGAGTAGCTGTTGCATCATTTATTAACCTTGAAAACAGCTTGGTCTCAGGAACTTGATATAACCCACCTGGCTTATATAGAGTTGTCTGATACTATATGTAACCATACATTTCATAATTTGGGTTTTTAGTTGTCCAACAAATACTCTTGTCACAAAAGTCACAAAAGAAAATAAAGTACCTGGTGTAATTGGATCTAATGTTTTTAGAGATATTAGAAACGAGTTGGTAAGGTATGGTAGTATGTTAATAACAATATACAATAATAATAATAATATACGAATTTGGCTTAGTGTGAGAGAAAATTAACATTGTCTATACTAGATGCTTACTAGCCACTGTTTGTGAATAATGAAGAAGTGTTTGCAGTTTCAGTTGAGAAAATACGTAATGCAGAGCAGCAGTGTGGCTGTGACGTTTATTTAACATATTCACACCTCAATAGAAGTGGTTTAGTCTGTTTCTTCTAACTATTTGATTCCATGCTGTGAAGGTAAATGAAGTGCAAGTGGCTGAAGCACCACACAGTGATGTCTCAGCTCACAAACGGATATTGGTGATAAATATCATAATACATTTACTGAGGATGGGAATGATATTCGGCTTTGTTATTTAGTACAGCATTGAATAAATTACCACTGGTGACAAGCCTGTTATAGTACCACATCGCAGAGTTTCACCACATCACCGAAATGAGGTTAGGAAGTACTAACATATATCATTAGAGAGAGGTGTGATTAGGGATTAGATCATTGCTCTTTCAATATTAATATAAGTATACATTGTAATGCATGCAATACACAGAACTTCTCCAGTATGAAGTTAAACTGCTTCCACTAACGTGGGAAATCACTGAAAAATACAGAATAACAGCATTCCTCTTCAAGCAAGACTCCTGTATTTCTTCGTCGTTGTGTTGCACTAGCTATTGACTGTCACGAATTTCCACATCCTGGAACCGTGAGTTATCATCAATGCACACACTTTCCTAGGCAATTCCCTATTTTATTGAATTGTTTCATTGTATTTTTCTATGCTTTGTTTCTCGTAATTATTTTGTGACAATGAGACAATGAGACAATAGCCAGAGAATGATTTAATCAAAAACGTCACCAAACCCTTCTCGCTACCTTAAAGCCAGGAGCATTAACTTTATATTTTGGTGTATGTGTATTTCATTTCCAGTACTATTTCTACCGCATTCTACCAGTGAAAGAACCCCTCGTGCAGTGTGAATAAGCCTTACACTGTGACACAGAGGCAAACAGGCTAACTTGTCTATTGAATATATGTGTTTAGAGTTTTCTAATGGTGTGTTGCATTGTGGCTAGAACGCGATTGATTCTGGTTACAGCTGTGTGATACATAGCGTACATATATAATGGTATGAGAGGAGGACGTATTCCATACAATATTTTAAGCAATACAAACGTGTACTATGGATTAATTAGTGCATAACACCATTGAATGTGGTACTTGAAATAAAATAATGTTCACCGTACCATAATCATACCATAAGAAAATGACCATGCAACAGCGGAAAATATTAAATGAAATTAACGCCATGCGCCAATATATGTAACATCTATACCATATAGTATGTCATACTCTTGGTATTTACTTTATCCAACCCCTATTCAGTAATCAAGTCTGTAAATAAAATATTTGTTCAGTATGGTTTGCAAGCAGAAAGACATACTCTTATATGGCGTTGAATTGTGGTATATGTGCCTCACCGCAAGTATTGTTTCTGTAAATAGAAAAGACAATCTATAGATGTAGCGTATGTCGTCGCCAATGTATATGAACCGTTTAGAACGGTGTCATGAATTTACGAACATATATGCACATGTTTTATTCTTCCAACGTGTATGTATTTTCATATGTGTGTATGCACATGTACGATATCAAGTGCATATGCAGAAATGAACATTGCAATCCGAACCTAAAAAACATACCTATCTGCGACTTTATTGTTCAATTCAACATATGGTATATTCTAAGTATAATCATACATTTATAATACATTAAAATATGTATATTAAACCTCATTAGTATGACTATATATATATATATAAATATATATATATATATTGTTGGTCTACTGCTCACTGTCGCAACAATAAACCCAATATGTAAAGGAAAACGTTGTCACATCATTTCAGTTCACGAGTATTTTATAAACCCTATCACAGTACAATGCAATATTGATGTAATTCCTTCCGATATAAGATAAGTGTAAGATAGTGTCAAGCTGAAATTTAGTTATAAACTATATATTATGTTATTCATTTTTAAATGTCATGCCTCAGTTCAATTCAATAACAAAATAAAATGGTGATTTGATTGTGGGTAGGTTCAAACACGTGGTGCCAAGTCGTTATGAACAAAACAGCCATTCCAGTCAATGTGCCTCGACAAAGTACATCAAAGGAAAGGCAAGGCACATAATAGAGTACCTGTCAAGAAGGTGAGGGTGTTCAACCATTACGTCATGGACCGTTAAAGTGAAAAATGCAAGATAAACACTGAGGACGACATCCACCGTGTAGTGTCCACGTGTCAGAATCAAACAAACCGAACCAATTACTGTGAGGCACCAACACACTACAGGAATACTCCGCCACGTTGACGGACTATCTGTAAGTAAATATAACAATTTTCTTTTCTTGTATATAAATATAAATCTTATTTGAATATATGCACTTATTCGATACATAAGTGAACCTTAACTGAATAGATGCATGTTTTTGTAATATAAACTGATATCATGGCAGTGCAATGTAACAAAACAGTGTTATAACTGTTTATATTACCACACTATGTAGTAACAATCTCGAGAATTTGATTGGTTCATGCGAACAGATTGACCTGTATTTATATAATTTGAATATATATGCACTTGTTTGGAATAAAAATGTATCTTATTTGAATACGTGTACTTGTTTTGAAAAAAAATGTATTCATTTGAATAACAATAAATTCATGAATAAATTCGGAACACGGACTGTCATTTTTGTAACTACTCACATTTTGTAGCAAAATAGCTTAGATATATGAATGTACTCGTGTGTCCACTGAAAATAAGGTCCCCGCAGACAATCCCTTTATCTGTAGTAATTCCCATGCTCACACTTTGCATAACAGCGAGAGACAGTCGTGACATTATTGTTCCATCAGTCTGAGAAGACAAAAGTCATAGACTTAGCACGCATCTGTGAACAACTCTAACAACTAAATTCATATAGCAAATAGAAAATTATTATTGTCTTCAAATAATTTGAAAACATCTGGTCTATTATCATTTGTATTGTAAGGTCGTCGATTTCAATATCATTACTAACAGACGAAAATGAAATTGGTCACGTCTCTTTAACATGTACATATCGTTCCTATTAATAGTCCAGTGGATTTAGCCCTGAAACAGGCCGAACCGGGAAGTAAATAGTAACAAGTATTAACAAGTTTGGTATCAAAAGATAAGGGAATTTTTTGTAGATTTACCAAAAAAAACAAGAACTGATAACATGGGCAATTTTTTACACGGGTAGATGTATGGGTTAGTGTTTATCGTACATTTTAGATTTTTCTTACATTTATATTTGGAATTAATATTACTTACAGCCTACACATTATTTCATATAGATATTGCTAGTGTTTTCTATACACTTTTTATTTAGATAAACTGAAGAAACTATCCGCCAGTTATAGAACAGTAATTTGCTGATGTCAGCATTTTTTTTTACAATTATTTTAATCCTGTCAAGTAGTCAACCAATCTTTTGTTTTACCAGATACCTATCGGTATAACAAAATAT